CCTGTAGGAACGAGGGGTCGCTCCAAGGGCTGAGGGCGCGGCGACACAGCGCAGTAACAGAGACTCGGTGTGCGCGCGCGTGCCATGCGCGTCTGGGGACTCGATCGTGATCAGCCAGTGCTGAAGTGGTCTCATATAGAATAATCCGAGCGGCATGAAGCGGCTGCGGATGCCATATGCCCCAGGAGCCTCTGAAATAGTTTCAGTGGGACCACTGTTTTACTGTCGAGCTCTCTCAGACAGTACAGCATCAGCTGAGCGCGCTCTCCGGAGAGGCGCGCTGCCATGGTGACCGAGTCCAACTCCAGCCCGAGAGAAGAGATCCTCTGCACGGGGGCGAGTTTGCTCTTTTCTCGGTTGACCTGAAACCCCCACAGGTGGAAGTGCCAGAGCACTTTGTCTCTGTGCATAATCAACTGCTCCGAGAGAGGGCAAAAATCAGCCAGTCGTAAAGAAATCGAGTATGCAGATGCCCGCGAGCCGAAGGGGCGCTGAGGCACCCTCCGCGGGCTTGGTGAGGACCCGCGGGGCAGAGAGAGCCCGAAGGGGAGGGCTTTGTATTGCCAAGCTCGACCTTCAAACGCAAACCGCAGAAACTGTCGGTGGCGAGGAAGAGTGGAGACATGGAAATACGCGTCCATCAGGTCTAATGCTGCAGACCAACCCAGAGGACGAACGCACCGGAGGATGCGCTTCTGCGTGAGCATTCTGAACGGCAGCTTGTGCAGGCAGCGGTTCAAAACGCGCAGATCTAGGATTGGCCGTGACCCACTGCTCTTTTTGGGCACGATGAAGTGTGGGCTGTAAAACCCGCTCTCCATCTCGGCTGGAGGGAGCGGCTCGATTGCATCCTTCGCCAGGAGGACAGCAATCTCCTCTCGCAAGACAGGGGCGGACAGGGGGCTGACCCTGGTGAATACACACCCGTGACTTGGGGGGCCGTTTCGCGAACTGAATCGCATAGCCGAGTCTGATTGTGCGTATGAGCCACCGCGAAGAGCTGGCCCGCGCTAACCAGGCAGGCAGAGCTCTCGCTAATGGACTCATCGCTACTATCGCTGACGTACCAGCAGTGGGGCAGCGCGGAGTGGGTGTGCTGATCCGGGAAGCTCGCGGGTCCCACGAAAAAGCTGGAGGTGAGATATTTGCTCTCACTCCAAACCCGAGCTCCGGAGGGGAGGCTCGAGGGGTGGGAGAAAGGAGACCGTCCTCCCAGCGCTCGTGAGCCACTGGCGAAACGCACCGAATCTGCAAGCTAGAAAGCATAGCGTCCCAGACTGGCAGATTTCGGGCTGTCACATCTGGGGAAGTAAAAAGTGCCCTTTCATAATGTTTTCATGGCAGTAAAAAGTGCCGTTGGAAATGAAGCCCCGCCCTCCAGCGGGGAAAGAGCAAGTTCCCTCTTCTCCAGATGGCCTGTCCCAGGGGCGCTTCGCGGTCCGTTGCCGGACTTAGCGGCGTTCTGGGCAGGGGGGCTGCCTGCTTCCGAGGTGCCCGACGCGCTCGCTTCGCCGGAGGCGTGTGCGGGGGCGGAGCAGCTCTCGTAGGCGGGCGCCTTCGGCGAGGAGCAGGTATGAATGGCACGGCGGGCGGAGCGGGCTACGGACCGCCGATAAGACATCACCCACCAACTACTCTCTCACTGCCTTGAATTCCTGGGTGAATTCACAGACAGTGTCGCCGAACCTGGCTGGGGATATGGGGAAGTCAAGAAAGCGGACTTTGTCGACTTTGCGCATATCAGCCAGGGGTGGCGCTCCTGGACCACTAATGTGGACATCGTCCTCCCCAACGCACACGCAGCGGACTCAGTAGTCCGAAGAGCTAAGTCGGCGGCGGTGCAAAGCTCGTAAGCCTGGGTTGGACCCACCCTCGTGCAGCTCGGCCAGCACCTGCGCTTGGTAGCGCTGGTAGGTGGCTATCGCATGCAAGGCGGAAGCAGCCTGGCCCGCAGCTATGTAAGCTCTAGCCCCGAGGGAGGTAGATAACTTACAGGCTTTGGATGGGAGACGAGGCAGACCCCGCCAAGAAGAGGCGCCGCGCGGATTTACCGCCATCGCGCACTCAACCTGAGGAATCGCCACATACCCCCTGGCTGTTTCACCGTCAAGAGTGGTTAGGGTGGAGGAACACGCAGCACGAGCAGAAAAAAGTGCTTTACAAGACCGCGTGAGCCTACTGTGCACCTCCGGGAAGAAGGGAACGCCCCTCTAGTCGGTCCGGCCGCGGAGCTGGGGGAAAAACCATCTCCAACCCACGGCCGAAGCAGCCCGGGAAAGCACGGCTAACATGTCCGTTTCAGGATCCGTAGTGACAGCGCTCACCAGCCCGAAGGGGGCGAGCGGGTCTGGATCATCATCGGACAATGAAAGCCCACCCTCCGATGCCGCGGTGGACATCATGTCTCCGGTGTCATCGGGCGTAAGGGCTACCATCTGTTAGACGAATCGCTTCCCCCGCCCGAAGCTTGGATGGAGCGCTTAGAGGAGCGGGAGGTCCGCGGGCCCGTGGGCGACGGATTATCTCTCGCTGAAACCCTCAGATCTGCCCGAGTGCCCGCTGCAGAGCAGGGGACAACTGGGGTGGTTCGCCCTTTTGCAAAGGCTAACCGCGATCTTGCGCAACAGTCATGGCATCGCAATGACGACATGAACTGCCCGCGAGCAGCGCATTAACATGCTGGACCCCCAGACATGTAACGCAGTGCCCGCGCCCATCATCCGAGGACAGGAAACCACCGCATCCAGAAACGCACAGTCAGAGCGCCGTCCTGATAAGGACGTGCTGCACGACTGTGTTGCTCTTTCTGTGAAGTTTGCAACTTTATACGCACCGCTCTGGAGGACCGGACCCAAAGAACGCCAGGCAAGGGAGAAACCCAGCTCGACCGTCTGCCACTGCGTGTACACACTCTGGACCGGGAGAATGCTCTCGTTCGCTCAGAATCGCTGGTCACAGCAGGAGGAACCCTCATCGACTCGATCAGAAAGTCTCTGAAGCGAAAAGGATAGCGTCTGCTGGCGCCAGGTGAGCTTATAAACTCAGTTGATTGCTTATGCCGCTCACCTGCGCAGGCTTGCGCTGCCAATTCATTCTTAATTGGCCCGTTCAATACTCTTTCAGACGAGTAGCTTCTGAACCGAACCTCCCAATGCGTGGATTTTAACAATCAAATCCACTTATAGTGCTGGAGTTCCCCCCGAAGGGGAACTGTAGTTTTTACACTGAATAGGTTTGAGATACTGTTCGTGAATTTAACACATTCTAAAATATCATGACAAACTCATAGGAAAATTAGATTATGTGGAACAGAAAAGTCAAGCACAACTCAGAAGAATTTCAAACCAACAGTAAAGTGAATACCATTTTGTACTGTTGTAAGTCAACATTTCACCAATAGATCCCTTGCCACATTGTGACCTTTCTGATATGTAAATCTGGGCTCAATCTATCGTCACTTTGACCCTCTTCTTCTGCTCCTCATAATGGGATGCACTTTACATTCAGAGAGCTCTTTTCACTGACGCATAGGTCAAAGAAGCTTTATTAGCTCATGGAAAAAAACAGAAGCACATGGAGACAGCCAGATGGGCAGTCATTCTCTAAGGCTAATATTAGTATAATATAAAGTGCTATAATGCAGAATATAGCTGTGAAACATGTCTGTCTACTCAACCCAGAGATCAGTATGATAGTTTTTAATAAAATCCAAAGGTTTTTTTTTTAAACACATTCAAATGAGATTTCTAACAATATTCATTACAAGTGCATGCAATCATTAAAATCCAACACCATTAAATTTCGTGTTAGTCCTACCCCTGGTGCTGAATCACAGTAATCAATTTAATGCGGACACAAATGTAAAATATTCATTGCCTGTGCATAAGAAATGATAGCAAATACATAACTCACTCATAAACTACTGTAATCATTCATGGATATTATTAATGCTTAATAAATCCAGGAATTTTGATTTGAGGAATTACAAAATTGGATTTTCTCTAACATTCTTTTTATGTCTGTCCTGCATTGGTGCAAAACAAAATGGATTGTTAATACTCTAAATAAAAAAAATAATACAGTTTATGGGAACTGCAACATTATACCTTTAATTCCAGATGCCCTATAAAGAACATTTGAAGTGACAGAGCTTACTCGCCTCAGGTATCACAGCTGCCACCTCTCTCAGACAGTTCATTAATTCAACTTAAGCAAACAGTGTAATGCTACACACCTAGTAGACTGCAATACACATGTAAAACAAGTCTTTCTATGTATTTCATATAACAGAATATCACTATAACAACAAATATGTAACTTTCCGGGTACAATAAAACATGCGGATCAAAAAATGTTCAGATTTTCCAACTACAACTGCACAGACACTGTTTATGACATTAGGAATGTGGTAATTAGACACATCTGTGTTGTGGTTTTAAAACTGTAGCATGTACTTTAAAATTGTGGCATTTTCTGAAAAGCAGAGTCAAATATGTTTTCAGACATTTAAAATCAGAAAGACTGCTAATGAAGTTTTCTCTATCATTAAGATGTGTAGCTTGTCATATTAATGCATTGTATTTATTTTAGTGTGTTTAGCTATATCAACAAAAACTGCAGCACTTATTGTATTGTACAATTTCTGTTTTGTTTTTAACGTATATGATTGCATAATTTGTAATATTAAGAACAAACTTAATAAGAGGGTGGAAAATAACTGATTATAATGTTCATACTTTGCTGACAATATGTCAGTTTAACCAAATGCCAATTAAAAATTTTACTTCTTATTAAGTTTTGTTCTAATAAAAAGCTCATTATGTGAACTTGATTTTGTGTATATAAACAAAAATGTAAGATATTTAAGTGATTTGAATTATTGTCTTTTTATGTATGTTATTATAAACTGTATTTGTATTTATTTATTTGTATTTGACTTAATGATTGTACTATTTTGAATTCTTCTGTGCTTTTCTGTATTTTTCCTGCTTTACTAACAGGAACCCATTCCAAAAAACAGGGCGAGGATTTATCCGATAACGACGGTGATGAAGATGAAGGTATTCTCTTTGGTGACGAAAGGCAATTGCATGTCTTTGAATTTTTATGTTATTTTATCTATTTTGCCTTCTGTTTTTATACAGTTTTTTTTTTTTTGTACTCTGAATGCAGCCCTCCCTTTGCACCATTTTATCTCCTCTCATGGTCTAAAGAGCCAACTATGTTCTTTTTGTGATTGTGGAGGATACCTGTTTCTAATATACTTCAGTGCTTAGCGTGTCAGGGAGATTTTCTTTGAGAGTGTGGGTGTATATGCACTGAGGCTTTGTGTGTGTGTGTGTGTGTGTGTGTGTGTTTATTTTCTGTTGTATATGGTGTATAATAGGCTACAGATGCATATTTTTGTAAATAGTAAATAGTACAGTGGATTTTGCTTCATAACCAAACATAGAACCAAAATGTTGTTTGTCAATAGCCAAAAATTGTATGGGTCTGAAAAAAAAAGATTGTGTCTCATGAAGATGTTAGGCTAATTTCACACAGTAAATATATTAAAACACGTCTGACCTGTACGTAATAAAATGACAACTTTATCACTGATGCTTGACACCTAATTCCATTTAGACTGTCATTTAGTACAGTTTTGTAATAGTACTGTATAGACATAGATTCAAGGCCCTAATACAGGGCAGATATCTTTCCATGTAGTGTTTTTTATTATAGTCTCAACATTTGAATAGTGCATATAATGTACAATTTCCTAGCATGCAGAAATAGCATTTAGCAACATGGAGGTATCTGTACATATAAGGCAAGCACACATGGGATGTCACAATATTTGATTTATTTATTTATACGTTTATTTTAAACAGGCAAATGGATTAAGATGAGGGGAGAGAGGCTGACAAGTTGTGGTAAGAGGATTAGCAATGAGGAGAAACAAACATGCGCACAAGAGAAGTTGCCAATCAGCAAGAGCATTGTTTAATTTCAGAATTTATCTTGGGATATTCTGGGCTCTGGGTGGATATCTGGCAAGATTAGAATAGGCAAAAGTATTCTTCCTCCGTTATTGCAAACAGCTTAAACCTCAGAACCTTAGAATTTTAAATCCTTTTATTGTTGTTCCTTTATGCTCCTAAACTGACAATAGATTTTGTAGGTGAGGGACATGTTCAGGCAGTCATGGTCTAGTTGTGTGCTCCTGTTGTGTCTTTGTTTGTTTTAACCAAATACTGCTCTCAGTTTTTGTCAGACTGCCCACTTTATCATGTTTGGGTGCTTCAACAAAGCAGGGGCAATGGCTTTACATTTGCCATTCAACTGATGTATGTTAAAGCAGTGTCTAAGGCTGAAATGGAAATTAAAGCAACTCATGTTTAAAGCAACTCAGTCAGAGGTATTAACTGCAGTGTTAATCAATATGCTTTCTTCAATAACAAGTAAGGCAGATGCCTTGTTATGTGCATGTTCTAGCCCTCTACATGTAGGGAAGCTTCCCTTGGGCGGATTTGGACTTCCAGTCCAAAGCGGTTGCATTACCTTTGCAATTGGCTGGTTCAGACAATCCAATTTCTGACTTGCGCAAATGTGGCGGCTCTCTGTGAAAAATCCACTAGGCTCTAGTAGTCAAGCAGCATGTCCTTCCAAAGGCTTTTCCGCTTGGTATGGAGGTTGGGTTTATGGCCATAGCTGTCTCAGTGGGATGTGGATTCTGCTCTGGATTGAGATGTAGTTCACTGAGGTGTCCGTGTTCTAGCCAAAGGCATGTTTTTGCATGAGGTGCCAATTACCCTGCATCAATGGCCCGCCTATTTTTCCCTAACTCTGAATGGCCCAGGGGTATGGCATCAACAGTAACAATAAGGAACACAGCTTGAAAAGTAGGATGGAACATTAAAATAAAACAAGATTCCAAAGCAGCCAAAAATGATGGATGGATGAGTTGACCTAGATTAGGATGTTGTGGTTAGTAAGTAGTTGAGCCCTCATTTAAAGCATTTCAGTTATCTCGTCGGAAGTTATCAAAGGGATGAATGCTACAGATTAGTTTTGACACTTGAACAGCACCAGAATTAAATTCCATTTAAGGCAACTATGTCAGTATGCCCCGTTTGTCTAACAAGGCATGCGAGTCAAAGCAAAAATACTCAAGCACAAAATCTCGAATTGAACTGTCACCACATATCTGTGAAAGATAGCAATAGTATGCATGACACATTGTGCACCTTACAACCTCTACTTTTCTCTAGCTACATACAGTAGTATCATTGTGAATCTAGGGCATGCTTCCTTGGCAAACTGTTTTAGACGACATCACCACACACTTAACCCTTCACCGGGTCAGCCAGGAGCCTTAGGCACAAATTAAGGCAACTGTGTGAATATATTCAGGTCTTTCTCTTTCTAACCACTTTGGCTGAATACCAGTTCATACAGTATGCTTTTTAGTATAAATGTGAGCAAGCAAGTCACTTTAATAGTATCTATACATCTGTGTCATAAAACAGCATCTTGATACCATAACGAATAGATGTGGCTTGCTGTAGGTAAAAAGTGTTGAGGGATTACCAGCAAGTGTACTTTTAAATCCCACCTGAAACTAAAGACAATCTAAACAATTTCTAAGCAATTTAATGTGCTTTGATTTAGTATTTATTTTTATTATTACTTCTAACCTTGTGTACTGTGACCTCGAATTCAGCCCTGACGTCTGTCTTTACCACTGAAATAGACTGGGCTAAAATGATATAATGTAACTAGCAAGCTGCTGGCATCATTTTTCAGCTGGTTGCCCCTATTTCAGCTACAGTATCAGGCTTGGCACAAACAGATTGCTGTGCTTATCAGTCTATAGAGAATCACTGGCAATTAGTTGCAACCTCAGGTGCTACTAAAGCTATAACAACTCCAATCCAGTTTGCACTAAGGTACACTGATATATTATGTGGGTGTATATTTAAGCACAGGGAACAAATTCATAATGTAGAGCATGGCAGTAATGATAAATTGTGCTTCCTGCCCACAGAAAGACATACGTTGTCTGCTGTCATTGTGTTCCCACTGCTGACAAATAGATGCACATAGCCATTGCTAGGCTAATGTGTCCATGTGCTGTAATTGGGAAAAAAAAAGTTCAGGCCAACTCCACCTGTTTTAGGATGGTTTTCACCTTACATACAGACTGAAACAGATACATATAGGGTTTCATTATGTTAAACATTTCAGTAAGATGTTTTATTGTTCTGAGATATCACCAGATGACTTGAATCATAATTGTAAATAATTTGTTATTTTAGAAAAATTGGGCAGATTTTTTTGGCAATTCATTTGCATAAAGTATAATAAATAGAATAAAATACAAAGAGCAATTTATATATATATATATATATATATATATATATATATATATATATATATATATATATATATATATATATATATATATATATATATATACAGTTGAAGTCAGAATTATTAAACTCCCTTTGAATTTTTCTTCTTTTGTAAATATATCCCAAATTATGTTTAACAGAGTAAGAACATTTTCACAGTATTCATTCATTGGTTTTCTTTTTAGCCTAGTCCCTTCATTAATCTGGGTTTGCCACCACGGAATGAACTGCCTACTTATCTAGCATATGTTTTATGCAGCGTATGCCCTTCCAGCTGCAACTCATCACTGGGAAACATCCATACACACTAGTTCACACACATGCACTTTGGTCAATTTTAGCATACCCAATTCACCTATACCACATGTCTTTGGACTTGTGGGGAAAACCGGAGCACCTGGAGGAAATCCACACACACAAACATGGGGAGAACATGCAAACTCCACACTGAAATGCTCAAACCAGCGACCTTTGTTCTTTTGGAGAAAGTCTTATTTGCTTCATTTCGGCAACATACTTCAACTATATATATATATATATATATAAATAAATAATAATTATTATTATTATTATTACTATTATTATTATTAAATAGAGTGAATATAATTCCAGTCAATATTAACATCTTTTTTAAAAATGGATCGAGCAAAAATAAAAAAATATATTTGTGGAATTACTTGATGAATAATAATTATTTGGCGAATGCTTTGAATTTTGCCTTACACATGTGCAAATGACTTTGTAATGAATCCAAAAATCACATTTGCTTGAAAATGATGCCTGCTCAATTATAATCTCCTTTTCATTACTTTGTTTTATGATGGCTATCACCATTTCTTGTGTGGAAAACCTTAGATTTTTCAGCTCTCAACTTAAAACAACCAGTGTTGAGGAAAGTTATTTTTACTATATTATAATCTTGCGCAACATTAAAAAAGTAACTAATTAGTAAGTAATTCGTTATTTTTTAACGAAAGAGGTTATTTTTTTTGTTTGTTTTTTAGATTAAGATAGTGGGCCCTATCATACACCCGGCGCAATAAGGCACAAGACGTGTTTGCCCTAATATGTTGCTATTTTCAGATCAACGCAAACTTAATTTTTCTGTTTTCCACCATGTTGTTTAAATAGCAAATCCATTTGCCTCACTTTGTGTACTCATGGTTTTTTCGGTCTAGAAAAGAGGTGTGTGAAGGAACATTATGAGGAACTAAAATAGAATAGGCAATAGACCAGCTGAAAGCAGGTCTAAAGTCAAGCCCAGAGCACATTAGTTGTGCGCCTTGCTTAAACATTGCTTAAAACGTGCAAGATGTACAGCAATACGTAAATATCTTTACACATGAAATAAGAATTAAAGGATTAAAATATTACAAAAATAATTACTCCCCAGATAAATATAAAACCCCCTGCCTCTATGCCTTCTTCAGCTCAGGGGCTTTTTTTTAGATTATTAACGACAACTTGCTTTTGTATAATGTTATTATTATTAACAGTATTATTTATTATATTCATATTTATATTTGTTTTATTAAAAAAAACAAGCTTAAAGTTGTCCACTTGTCAGGTTTTGGACCATATGGGGCATAGCATGTGTTTGGATATAACACACACTATGTTGACCACACTTTGTTAGTATTGTTCATTTATTAGTTTGCTGTAAATTAAAACAGAAATTAGAAAGAGAGAAAGAGAAAGTAAAGGCTGATTGGAGGAGGCTCATTCTTTATCCTTGTGCTGCAGATGCTCTGTTTTAACAGTTTTCTCTGTTAGTGAAGCGTTTCATTTTTCCACTTACAAAGTCCGACATGTAAATAGCAAATGTGCCATAACGCCAAGCAACTGACTCTTAAAGGGAATAGGAGATGAGACTCTGATTGGTTTATTCTCAAAACACACCCATAACTCATTAAGGGAATAAGCTTAATTTTGTTAGACCATGCGCCTCAGCACAGAACCTATTTTTCCATCCTTAAAATAGCAAAAGTGGATTCGGACAAGCCCTAAATGCTTTTGCGTCCTGCGCTTTAGACTATTGTGCCTTGATTGTTAAAATAGAGCCCAGTGAGGTTAATTGAAGCAATATATTAGCATTGTAATATATTACTTTTAAAAGTAACTTTTTTCCAGCACAACAATGCTGTGTAAGTTGGTTGAAGTGTAAGGGAAATTCTGGTAAATACATCTTTATGTAAATAAATGATAAAATCTTGTTTGTTTATCAGAATTCAAAGATAATAAACAAATAATAATGTGCAAAAACTGCTATGACTAAAAATGTTGTGTAGCACTTTGTAGGTAAGCAGAATATTTATTTTTGTATTTATTATTAGTGGCATCACCAGTTCCGTTCAATAGACCTGAACAGTTGTGAAACGATTTAAGTAAATGTTCATGCCAAATATTTAAGTTGATGAGAGAAGGCCTTTATTTTGAAGGAGGGACCTAACTTCGAACTATAACTATATATATATATATATATATATATATATATATATATATATATATATATATATATATATATATATATATATATATATATAAATCACAGCAACATTAATACTAGTGATTTTTTTAGCTATTAAGCAAGATGTGTACAAAAGATTCTGCATTTTGAGAAAACAGACATTTGTAAATATCCCCTTTCCTTAGCATCAGTCTAGGGAAATGATCTAATCATTTTCAAATAAATTTGCATTATGCAGGTATGTTTAGTGGGGGTGAGGCAGTGGCGCAGTAAGTAGTGCTGTCGCCTCACAGCAAGAAGATCGCTGGTTTGAACCTCGGCTCAGTTGCCGTTTCTGTGTGGAGTTTGCATGTTCTCCCTGCCTTCGCGTGGGTTTCCTCCGGGTGCTCTGGTTTCCCCCACAGTCCATAGACAGGTGAATTGGGTAGGCTAAATTGTGTGTGTGTGTGTGTGTGTGTGTGTGTGTGTGTGTGTGTGTGTGTGTGTGTGTGTGTGTGTGTGTGTGTGTGTGTGTGTGTGTGGATGTTTCCCAGAGATGGGTTGTGGCTGGAAGGGCATCCTCTGCGTAAAAACTTGCTTGATAAGTTGGCGGTTCATTCCACTGTGGTGACCCTGGATTAATAAAGGGACTAAGCCGACAAGAAAATGAATAAAGGTATGTTTAGTGCTTTTGATTAGTAATTTGTGTTTAGACTGTCATGAAACTTTCTCTCTCGCTCACTCTCTCTCTCATATATTCATTCACTGCGAGAAGCTGGGCATCAAAGGCTACATCAAACCATCTGTCACTGTGTTCTTACCATTATATTTAATGCACAAACACCAAAGCCTAGCCTTAAGAATTCATCTTTTTCAAAGATCCTTTTTTTCTCATCAGGAAATAAGGTTTAACCATTAAAATAATGTCTCATTGCATTTAACTTGGCCCAATATGTTATTAAAATGTACATTATTAAGAAAAAATAGCACTTAATGTATAACTTATACATAATGTAATGTATACTTTATACAGTATTGTTTTAACAAGTGCAATGATATTGATAAACTACTCTAATAATATGTGATCTTCTGCGGCAGTACACTTTTGAGTGGACAGCAAAACTCTTATAACACCTTAGCGACTCTATTGCAATGTTCTAACACCATTAATATTAGTGAGATATCCAAGATATGAATGTATTGAAAAACATTATTTATTGACTACATATATTTGTATAAATTGTGCTGTAGACAGAGCATAAAAACTAAATTTACATATTATGTATTTTCCTGTTCAAGTCATGTTCACATTTTTCGTTCCATAATAGCTACAGAAATGTTCTCTCTGACCTGTAAATGTCAATCTACAATATTCATGTTTTCTGTGATGAGCTCAATGGCGATAGGGTCTAAAGTCAAAACCTTGGCTCGGGAGCTTATACAGAGTTTACAATAAGAATGTTAGACATATTCCATGTTTAACAGCATCAGTACTAGACTTGGCCACTTATCAGTGCTCACGCTGTCCAGTTTCTATAGAGTGACAAGCTGTTGAGAGGTAGCCTTTTAAGAATTTTGAGAGGTTCACAGACACAGATTTAACGTGTCTTCCTTCTGAGCACTTTGTTGAGCACTGCGGCCCATTTCTGATATCCGCAATAATGTAAAACTCTAATAGATACTGTATGTAAAAGACTTTGTGAGGGTGCTTGTTTGACCTATTGTGTGGTCAGATGTGTTGTTTCATTTATAAGGAAGCCAATGTTTTTACCTTCTTTCATTCATCTGTAGATGATTGATGGATGTTATATAAAGGAATAGACGCGTGCCACCTCACTGCATCTGAAGATGAAGCATATTGTATGCATTTATATGTGGGTCTGTATGTGTGTGTCATAGTGAATGAGTCATGTTTTCCACACTCCACAAATATGCTTCTTGTTTGTTCAAAGTACCTATTTAAAATCAGCTAAAACAACATACTTATTGAGTTTTATGTTATTGTTTTAGTAATTGTTTTATGTTCAATCCACTTAAATTTGTAAAATCTTATGAGATAACCTAGTTTCTTCATGTTGTCAAAACACAAATTAACTGTGTGGAACCTAGCATTTTTTTTACAGTGTAGTCAGACATATCATCCATAATTGTACATTCATTATGCTGACATTTTGTCTAATGTTCTAGAGTTTTACCCCTCCTGTTTAAGGTCACTTTTATCCTGTTTCTTCAAATAATGTGTTTGTAAAGTGCAAGTGTTTTTGTATTGCATTTAATCAATGTTTCTCTTCTTTTTCCTCAGGGATTTTTAAATCTGATTTATGTGTTCAAGATGTCTTTGAATGGATAACTTGATTATTGACTTTATAAGAATATTCGGTAGACATAAGATCAGTTAGAGTGATTATGATTTATGTCACATCACACTGGCATGATGTGAATCTACAAAAGAGGGTGCTGATAACATTGACATGGCTAACTTTATATTGTTTTTTAAATTGCTGTTTTTCTTTGTGTCTCATCCTGTGCATCCTGTGTGCACTAAATCTTGTGCATTTTTCTCTCTTCTCCCCGCTCCATACATTATCTTTCTTTTGTACGATAAGTGTCAACAGAGAATTGTCATTTCAAACTGCATTGTCATGCTTCTCTCAGATACCAGATAAACCTCTAAACATAACTGTAAATGTTTAAACTGGCAGATTTGAATAGAAATTTTGTATATTCTTCTTTTCTGGCTTTTTCTATCAGATCAGGAGCATAATGTGTGAATGTGCTTTTAAAGCAGGCTGTGATACAGCACCGCATCCGTAAAGGGGTGGGGGGAGGTTTAATGCGAATGGGGGCAAATGCACTCGAGTGGTGTTTGCGATTAGCCGTTCTCAAAGATTCTGAATTTTGATCTGCTGTATCCATGGCAACGCTCAATACAATACAGCATTTTGAGCCTAAGCCCAGCAGTCTTTAGCTCTCAATGCGTGTGTCTCTTTCATCTGTAGAGACAATTTCTAAGCCTGTTTTTTTTTTTTTTTTTATAATGTATGTAACAAAAATCACAAACTCATAATTATTGGCTTATTGATTGGTGTCTATATAAAAAAAATTACAAAAATGGTAATGTTGTCTAAATGAAAGGCTTAGCCAAAAAGCTATTGTATATAAAGTAATATCTTGCTACAGCTGTATTTTTTATCCAGCAAAGGAAAAATGAGCTTTTGTTTTCTGTATTATGAAAATAAACCATGATGCTGCATAAATGCTTTCAAAGTATTTATATTTATGTCATAGTAGTTGTGCCATTTGCATACGTTTGCATTTATTTAATTAAATACAACTAATTCAAATTGTTTTTTAATGAGATGATTAATTTTTATTAAAAGCACTTAACATTAAAAGTGTCTCCATACTTTTTTGGCCTCTTTAGATGTTTGAAGGATAAAACAAAATAAAATGTTGTCTAATATTATTTAACATTTCTTAAATCCAAAACAATATGAATGCCACTGTTTTATTCAGCCTGCTTACCTATTAGATGAGGAATTTTGGCCCTTGAGTTGTTGCCCATTTTAAACCTTTCCGAGCCTGTAAGCTGGATCAGTGAAGTTTAACAAGGCCATTAAATTTGAGATGATCTCATCATTTAGGCCACTAAAGCTTGTTAGAGCTGCCTGCAATAGCCAGTTAGGTTCTGACCTCCCATATGGCTTCATCTGTTCATATCTGTTTTGCACATACTGTTCATTACAAGAGACAAATGACTCGGCTAATATGAAATGCATCTCAAACTGTAATTGTGCTGGTGACTGGTATCTGGGAGGACTGTTAGATGCATTGCTGTGTTGAATCTTGCTCTGAGGGGATAGTGGAGGAGAAAGAGTTTAATGGTGGCCACTCTTGCAGACATACGAGATACTGGAGCCAAGCCTGTGATGGTGTACATACATGGAGGATCGTACATGGAAGGCACTGGGAACATGATTGACGGAAGTGTGCTGGCTAGCTATGGGAATGTCATCGTCATTACACTCAACTTTCGAGTCGGCGTTCTAGGTAAGTACTTTTCTTTCTTTTTTTTAACCTGGCTAAATTGAAAATCAACACAGGGTCATTGAAGAAAAAAGTGTCTGCCTACTTTTTTTTTGTTAAACCACAAAAAATGCACATACAGACATACCCTTAATTTTGACTGAGGGAGCGATTTGGCTTCATATGCCCACACCAGCACCTACAGTATGTCTCAGAATGCAATGCTGACAGTGTAGTTCCCTGTGCTCAAAGGTTTGTGGCATTCCATTTAAACCCATTCATATATTCTGCCAATAGTGGACAATCGTGTTGTACAATGACGTACATCCAAGGGAATAAGATGTTAACGAAGAAGTTAACGAGTGAAAGGTATAAAAAAAATGGACTGAAATGGAGCCCAAGTCTCCAGGAACACCAACATAACTACACTTATTTTTACTACAAATATTATTATTTTGAAGTGAAATGTACATGTCCACTAGTACCTTGAGGCTACATTTACTCTATTTACTTATTTACTGTGCTTAGTTAAGTAATAAACTGTTTGTAATTATACAGCTTAAAGGTATGAGAAACAAATTTTGCTCTATGTATAAAATATTTCACATTTGTAGCTATTCTTAGATATGTGTGCTCCATGAACAATAGCTATATCTAGGTTGCAGAAGATTGTTGTATTTGTGCATTTATATCAAGGGTGTACCTTATTTTCGAATCACATACAAAGCACTTTAAAATGGAAATAGCACTCCAGTACAGCCTGAGTACAGCCTGGAAATTTGCAACACAATGAGCAAGATCTCCATACTGTACAGTCTTTATTACGAAGTCTGTTTAATAAGTCTCGCTGGAGTTTTATCATCTCACTGCAGCATTTCCACCTGTCCTGTGGTTGTGATAATTATTGCTTCTAAGTGTGGACCCTGTCTCTCCAGGGGCCCTATTTGGAGACTTTCACATGTGAACTCCACACCATGTAGATGGCTGAGAACTCATTACTGGTTTAATATTTAATTACAAATGCCAGATCACCAGTGACTTTTTCCTGCTGTTGCAGTCCTGTGGATCCTGCGTCTGACTTTTAGTGACTGATGGCATATGTGAACATTCCGGCATTCAATTTGATCAGACATTGAGAATGGCCAGAGACAATTTGTTTATAGAAATGCTGTCTTTTTGAGCATTGATTGGTGTGCATGTGCGTGTGTGTGTTTGTGCAGACCAGGCTTGCTGGGACCCTTTAATAGGATGTAATGGCTCCTAGTCAAGGAGTGTATCTTGTATCACTGCTCTTTACAAATATAATTACTCACTGGCTCTCTAGAGCATGTCAAATTCTATTTCCTGTGGGGAAGACTTAATTACTGTTTCCAGATGCATTAAATATTAACAATAGCCACCCCTGTTTTCAAAACCATTCGACCTTTACCCTGTATCAGAGCATTTGCCAGATGTGATTTACAAAATCTTGAAAAATAAAAATAACACTCTACAATTCGGATACATTTGTTAACATTGGTTAGATAGCATGATCATGCTATGACCAATTAGTTAGCACTAGATTAGATTAGTTTGATTGAATCTTTGATAAAATGTTTTCTGACTTAAATCGACATTAGACAATTCATATTTTATTAAATCATCAACATCATGGTTGAACTTGTAGATAAAATATCCATATTCAACAAACATATGCATTGATTCTGTGTAATTATGTAAATTATGTATATCTGTGTAATATGTAAAAGATGTAGCAAGATATATGACTTTTATGATCTTATATGACTAGCAAGCAGAGCTATGCATATCAAATTTTGAAATTAACCATTCCATCTCTGCTCTTTGTTCATCAAAAGTTTGCCATTGGTCTATTGTTGCAGAATAAGTTTAATCTATGTGAAATCTTTTGCATTCAAAAAAAAAAAAAAAGAAAAAAAAAAACGCTGCATGTTCAGCAGTGATATGAAATTATATTTCACATGACTTCTTCAAGGGCTGTACCAAAATCCCCTGACAAATGTATTTTTCATCTAGGTCAAGAGTTTAGATGCATTTCTTTTAAAGAGGAAAATGCTAAAGTGTTGAGGTGTTTTAGAAAATGGTGCAATTTGTGCATAAACATGTCAGGATTTTTGTTTTTTGTTTGTTTTGAAAGGTTATTGCTGACCATAGTTATACGCATAATCATAAGACGTTAATATTAGATTACACTTAGGTTGCCAGCGTCTAAGGACAATCTTAATTTGATGTTCAATAATGACGTGAAGTAATGTTGATATTTTGTTAATTTTAGGTTGTGTTGAAAGTGACCAAATTATAATGTCAATTCAAGATATTAAACTAATGCCATGTTGAAGTCAAATACAGACATTTATTTATCAGGTAAGACACCAAAAAAAAAACAAATGTCTAATAGACGTCATATTGGTAATGTCCACACAATGTCAAGCTGTGACATCATTAGAAGTTGATATATATATATTTTTTTTAGGTTAAATGCAATTAAAATGCTACGTCTTTCCAACACTGGATATTAACGTCAGGCTGAGGTTGAGTTCTGATGTCAACTTTTTCATTTCCAAGCAAAATACAATATCCCAAAAAACTGGGATACAATGTCAATTTGACGTCATGTTGACGCCCTGTGGCTGCTGGGAGGGCCTAAACCACCTCCCTAATATTTGGATTAGTGGACAATATTGTAACCTTATTGACACAAAAGTGATTAAAAATAGTGATTTTAAACTTCCAATTATTAAACATTAAAACACCAGCTTGACTGAAGCATGTATATGAAACCATATTGATTTTACGAAATAACAATCAAAGGCACTCTGTTTTGAAATTTTGTTAAAGAAAAAAGTCATTCTATTTGTCTTTTTGTCATTTTGATTAATTTACTGCATGCAAACATATTAATTTCAACAAATGTCTGACCCCAAATGTATAACCAATGTTGCAATAATGTGCTCTAGAACTACAGTACAGAGAATATAGTGAAATATTATCACTCTGTAAATTACCTATTTGCTATTTTAAAATTCAATTATGTAACTTGCATAATTCAAATTATTCAAAGTTCAAAGTTTAAAAAAAACAAAAAATTATATTCATTAATTTATTTTCCTTTGGCTTAGTCTCTTTATTCTTCAGATGTCGCCACAGCAGAATGAACCACCGTGCCACCCATAAAAGCATTCTACTCAAATTAAACTAGTTATAACTTTTAATATTTGATTATTTGATCTCTTAAGGCTTTCATTTTTTTCTAAAAATGATAATGGCTTATTTGCAAACGCTATGCATTCTGACCATTTTTGAGTGTAAAGTGATAAGATTAAAATTGGGAAAAATGTTTTATTCATGTATGCTGAAAGAAAGAGTGATGAGGGAAGAAAACCAGAAGCTATTTTTCTGTGAGACAAAAGCTGTGTGCTCAAAAAGACAGACACACTAATAAATTATAAAGAAAAAAAAAAAAACATGGAAAGAAATTACAGTTGTTCTAATCAAATGAGAATGAAACAAGGGTGGAAAAAACATACCCGGAAATCAATTTATAGGACAAATTAAAAAATGAAATGCCCAAAGGCTGAAATAAATCGAAGATGAAATTCTGCAAATGTTTGGCCTATTAATGCATTAGCTGCCCAGAAGCAAATTATGAGGTCTTCAAGTTCTCTCACTCAGCCTGCGATTTGGAAAACTTTTCTCAAGTGGATCAAATGTCTTATCATAAGTTTGTGAACAAAGAGAACAGAATCATGAAGCATGTTTGAAACTTTGTGCTCAGACATTCCCAGGAGTCTGTGGTTTTCCTCAGGCAGTTTTGATTTACCTCCAGGGTCTGCCAGTTCCAGCCTTTTTGTGGGTGAAATAAATTACAAAGAAACCTCAATTAATACCACAGTCTCTTTATCCAAACCTGACCTCTGGGTTTGAGGGATTGATCTTTAGTATGATGGCTGCTGTCAAAGTGTCACTTGAGTGCTGTGACATTCAGGTTCTTCTTGGCCTAGTTTTCCACAATTGAAAGATTTGTCAACAGATCAAGTGAGTCAGACCGTGTGACAAGAAATCTTTCCATCACATGAGCCAACCATTACAAAACAGAAGTTCATTGAGTTTCCTATAATACTTCTTTTAAATTTAAAATTAATACTTTCGTTCTACCCTTCATGTACTTCTCTGAAATGTACAGTACTTTAGGCACTTTTCATTAATATAATTAAATAAGCATTTAAGTATACTTGAGAAAAAAAAAAATTCTTTTTAGCCTACACACTGGCAACGCAGTGGCACAGTAGGTAGTGCTCTTGCCTCACAGCAAGAAGGTTGCTGGGTTGCTGGTTCAAGCCTCAACGTTTCTGTGTGGAGTTTGCATGTTCTCCCTGTGTTTGCGTGGGTGTCCTTCGTGTGCTCCGGTTTACCCCACAGTCCAAGAAATGCAGTACAGGTGAATTTGGTGGGCTAAATTATCTGTAGTGTGTGTGAATGAGTGTGTGTGGATATTTCCCAGAGATGGGTTGCAGCTGGAAGGGCATCTGCTGCATAAAAATGTGCTGAATAAGTTGGCGGTTCATTCCGCTGTGGCGACCCCGGATTAATAAAGGGACTAAGCTGAAAAGAAAATTAATGAATGAATGGCCAATACACAGCAAAAAATGCTTTTCTCATTAAGAGCTTCTGTCTCGTTTGTAGTCCAAATATCTAAAAATACTTAAATTGCGAAGCATTTTTAGACAAGCAAAAATATTATGTTGTTTTCAGACAGTGTCAAAATTAAGTGAGCTTTTCCAAAATAATCTGACAATGAGTTAAGCAAAATTTCAAAGCAAAAACAATTTTTATTTTGCTTACCACATTGGCAGATTGTTAAGCCTATTTTAATCAAACATTTATTTTTGTCTTATTTCTGAAAACACACAGCAAGCAGTGCAATACTTTAATGTAAAGAGACAAGAACAAGGAAGTGTGGATCCGAATGCGGGGTTAATTATGCAGAGAATAGTCAGGCAAGCAAC